TTCACTTAGTCTCAGGCAGGGGGCGTTGGCGGTGATGCTTACCTAGGGCGCCATCGACTGAGGGGGCGCTGACTTAGCGAGCGGATTTCACTTAGTCTCAGGCAGGGGGCGTTGGCGGTGATGCTTACCTAGGGCGCCATCGACTGAGGGGGCGCTGACTTAGCGAGCGGATTTCACTTAGTCTCAGGCAGGGGGCGCCGGCGGTGATGCCCGCCTAGGGTGCGATATGGGCTTTGAGCGATACTGCCTGGAATAAACACTGTGACGTATTGACAGCCATTGGAGCCAAATGTCTGATATGAAGTCTTGCTGTGGTCCAGTCTGTGATTGAGCAGTAAAGGGGACTGGAGCCAGGGAGACATATGGAGACATAAGTCCATGAAGTGAAAGCAATTTACTTAGCTTAGCTAACTTGGTATCACAGAAATGTTCCTCTTGCCGTTCAGGGCTGCAGTTTAAAGGCCAGCTGTCTTAACAGGCACGGTAAATGCTAGGCTTCATTAAGACTAGGCTCACAACTGGCCAGCTTATAAATACAACTCAATTAACCTTTTACTGCAAGTGAAGGATCAAGTAAATTACAGGCAAGTGATTGCACTGACATTGATATCATCTGCGAATTCCATGAGCAGCCCCCTGGTGGCCAGAAGAAGCAGTGCAGTGTTGAGAGGCAGGAGAGCTCATGGGAGTTTTACTTAACCAAAAATGTTCTGTGGGCGGAATGAAAAAAGATTGGTTCAGAGAGATAGCCAATCGTGTTGTAGGGGAGGCAGGTCCAAGCAACTAGAGGAGGTGGGACCAAAACATCTGATTGGCTGGTCTGACATCTGACAAAGATCTGATTGGTTATCTCTCTGAATTGTTTTTTTCCATTCTGCCCTCAGATCATTTTTGTATAAGTAAAAATCACATGTGCAGCAGGATGGATCATTATCACCAACAAATAAAACCTGAGGTGAAAGCAGTTCTGAGCTTTTCCAGCTTCCTGTCCCAATGACTGGACAAATGTGGTGTATGACTGGGGTGTCTGACCATGAAATCCTGAGACAGGTGCCCTGCATGTTTTATAGGAAACATTTTAATTAGCAGCCACAATTATTAATTTTATTAAAACCCATTAGGCTTAAGGAACCCTGCTGACCCTACGGCTGTGCCCAGCACGCTAAAATCACATTCCCTGCGTTTGTGCCGCGGAGATTAGAGGGATTCGTGCTGCGGGAGACCCGAGCATGGCAGCCTCTCTCTGATACACGATCTGAGATAAATGGAATTAAAGCTCAGTGTGAATCGGAGTAGAGGAGAGCGGAGTGCCCCTCTTACAAGCATGCACACGCAGACACGCATGCACACGTAGACATGCATGCACACACGCAACACACACAGGAGTCAAGACATAGTGACATCAGCTTGCTAAATCAGCGCCCCCCCCATAAGAGGGCGCTCTAGGCAGCTGCCTATGTCCGCTGATGGGTTGACTTACACTGACTGTAAGCTACTCCTTCTACTCATACCTACATTGCTGAGTCTTTTCTGGTAGTATTTCTTTCTGCCCCCCGCCCGCCTGTCCTTTGTCATGTAATTTGCGGATGGGTAGATGGCCAGCAGGATTGCCCCCTCAACAGTCCATCCAGCATGCAGAAGCTCCCCCTACAGGATAGGCAGTGGAGAGCAGCCCAGAAACTCAGAGCAATCAAGCAAACTTTTTTGGTACATGGGTGTGGGTCAGAGGTACAGATGTTCCCCCCTGAAAAGACCATGAAAGGTTCCAAAGCCAGAAAAAGGGTCTGCTGAAGATGGACCCTAAAACCCGGCTCCATGCCTCACTACATAGGGATCCATTCACTTCGGCCAACCTCCGGAAAGTTCCACAAGAGAGAGTGACGCGGTGTGAGGAAGAACAACAAGTGCTGAGAGCCTCAAAGTAAAGCCAAAAGTGGGTCTGTTGTGTAATCCATCTGCATGGTGATAAATATTTCAAAAAGCAGCAACAACTGAAATGGTAGGGGCGGAGCGAATGTTTTCCGCAATAGCACATCATAAATATATCATGGCTCGCTCCCAAATGTAACTAAATCGATCGCCCTTATTGCGAATTCACTACATCAGCTTTTTTTTTTTTACTCTCACTGAAGTACGGCACTAAGGTCCATCAGCTGGCCCAGGGATCAGTTAATGAAGCTGCTGGATTTTCCAAATCAAGGGACCAGTGAGTAGTGGATATCAAATAGTCTGTCTGCCATAAGCTCTGCCCATTTGGGCATATTGACTGGCACCAGGCTCTGACATGTGCCTCTCAAAACTACTGCAAACTGCTTCCAGCAGAATATGAACGTCAACACCCTAAAATATGACATTATTTATATGTTTGCAGCTGGTTTTTATCCTAAGGGTTCTAAGTATTTTGCAGTATTTATGCAAGCCAGCAGATTTCTGGGAATAATTGCAGGGAAATGTTTTCCCTTAAGGGTGTTGACAATATGCTTCCCCCTGGTGGGATCTGAACCTGTAACTGTTTGGTCAGAGATACACTCAACAAGTTCTGCATCAAGTTGGTGCGTGGCGTCCGTGAACAGATTTATAAGCATGTGAGGCCGATCTATAGTCCTGCGGACAGATGTATGACCATGTGGGAGACCTCCATGCAGGTCCCACCATGTCCTGCTCCGCCCAAGCGAGACGGAGAGAGCACTCCTGGACGTTAAGAGTCTAGACTCTAATTGCTGGTAGTTTAATGACTGGGGGGGTGACAGGTGGGGCAAGCTGAAAGAGCCCCCCCCCCCATCAGCAGGGGATATAAAGCATGGCTGGCCATGGAAAAGGGGGCACTCAACACTCACAGGCAAAACGAGTGCGGAGCAGGAGGGACAGCGAGAAGCACGGGTACGAGCGGTAGGGTATGACCCGTCAGGGGTTGGGTGGCTGAGTCGAGGTGGAGACCTCGTCTGATTACCGCAGGGGTGTTCGTGTGTCACGTGCTGCATGGACGATCAGAAAAAAAAATGCATGATTTTCTTCCGTCAGCTATGGGGGCGTCGTCTAGCACCTCCTTGGAGGAAAGCTTTTCAAATCGTGCCACAAGCTATGATAAGATTATTTCAGGATTTAAACCATAACACCTTGTGGGAAACGCAGGCGAGACTGAGTAAATCTCCCAGGTGGGGTTTGTGAACAGGACTGTAGCGTGTCGAGTAAACTAATTCTTGGACTGAATACTCTGCTGCTTACAGGCAGTCCCCAAGTAAAGGAAGTCCCACTTAGGGACAATTTGTACTTACAAACGGAATGCCATAAAACCCGTTATATTAAAAATAGTTTATAACAACAAACGTACGTGCTCTTTGTGACGCTCCAGAAAACATTGTGTGGCTTCAGCGATTTGCTGGCTCAAGGTACAGAGCAGTACCATATTTACTTTTATTTTTACTGTATATTATTATTATTAATAATTATGTACTGCATTAATTTTTTTGACTTACCTAGATGTTCAAGTCAAACACATAATGGATCTGTTTGTAACCTGAGCACACTGAATGTATTAATAATTTGCACTTGAAAATATTCTGATGCACAAAAGTCTTTGATCAGATTTTAGTCAGAACTGGAGTGTGAACTGGAAGCTGGTTTCTATGTTTTTGTTTCACAGATTTCCTTCACAAAACACAGGGACAAAATCCTGTCACCAAGGTCCCAACAGAGAAGCCTGTCCAAGCCTATGGCTCCTTCACATTCCGAGCAGATCTGGAAAACTAGCCCATGATGAGCCTTGGGCTCCTTGGCCCAGGGTCAGCCTGGGAGTTACAGCATCATTAGCAAATAAAGCTACAGTTAGACAAACGAACAGCCCCCCCAGGACGTCAGCTGGGCGCTAATTAGGAAAGGACACCAGCATTAGTAGCTAAGGGGCCCATCACTTGGAATAAGACGCTCCTTCAGGGAGCAACGAAAGATCAGATACGTTCCACTAGGGACAGGCGGGGAAGTACATTCCGCTCAGGTCAAAATTCAATTGAGCATTCAAAGAGGAGAACAATCGCAGAAGTGTGGCAAAACACAATAGTATCGAACACAGGTGCAGCCATATCAGAGTTCTGGGGAATGTCTTTGTACTGGATGTGAGCGTTAAGCCTTTCTGTGGAATGCTAGCTTTTAGGGCGTCAGGGGTCTTATCAGCAGGTCTGACGTGGCCGTTGAGGTGTGACCTCTCCTTCATTCAGTCTCACGTGCCGCTCCTGACTGCTCACGTCTCTCCGTCACAGAGCACAGGCATGGCGGCCGACTTCGGGCAGCAGGTGAAGAAGGTGGCCTTGGCCTTAGGAGCCTCCCTGAGCGACCAGGACATCGAGCGCATTCCCAGGGAGATGCGGCTGCAAGGTGAAGCCCAGGGCTGGCGGGATCTCTGGGGGCAAAGGGGGGGGGGGGGTAGCGATGCAGAGGCGGAGGTGTAGAAACGGCAGGGCAAGAATGGAACGTATACAGCCTGACTGGGAACGCTGGAGGAATTTGGTGGGAATGATGGAAGGTCTATTGCAGGGACTCTCAACCATTTTTTTTTAAATCCAAGGACCCCCATGTCTCACCCCCCTACACAGGCTATAATACTGTCTCGCTTATAAGCATTCGGCAAAACAAGGTGTCACTCCACTGTGGTCATTAACACGCCTTCTTGCCCCCTCAGTTTAGTTTGCTCTCAAAACAGAAGGTGAATGATTAAAGATAAAAACCTATTTGGCAAATAGTTCTAATATCAGAAGTTAAACAACCATTAAAAGTGTGCTTAACTGAAAAGACCCTTATTTTTAGGTATTAGCCTTCAACAAAATAAAATCAATGCTGCAAATTATGAAATTTTTACTGAAGAACCCAGGTCCTATTGACCTGCTCCACCACCATCCAGGGAACTTCAACTACAGCTTATTCTTGGAGTACATGCGACAGTTCAAGACCTCGGAGGAGAAGGAAGAGATGATCGGGAAGGCCTTCCGCACGCTGGACAAAGATGGCAGCGGCTACATCGAGTGGAACGAGATCAAGTAGGGATCCTGGGGCACCTGGGGAATGGACGAAGGCTCTTCACGAGCTTTCTTAAAACCTGGATGGTGGAAGTTGTTACCATGTTGGCGTTCTGAGCCTAGACAGAGTGTTGGGTAAACGAGAGCGATGGTCAGCATGCTCTGCTATCCAGCTCTCTGGCCTTTTCACCCACCAGGTACATCCTGTCCACCATTCCCAGCTCGGTACCCTTGGCGCCGCTGTCGGACGATGAGGCAGAAGCGATAATGCAGGCCGCAGACGTCGATGGCGATGGCCGAATCAACTTCAAGGGTGAGCAGTGTGGGGCGAGTTGCACTTCTGCTATGTGGCCACCAGGGGGACGATCAAACGCCGTGCTCCACCTTGCGGCTAATAACGCATTAGAAAGGAGGCTCTGTCTGTGCATTTAGCCTCCTAATCGAGGCTTCCTGCAATGACATAAAGTAGCCAGCAGGAGGCTGGCTACTTTATCTCCCTGACCAGCGTAGTTCAGCATTCTCATCGGTGGGGGGGGGGCAGTGTAACCTGAGCCTGACCTGTCAGAGACCTGCCACCTGACACTTTGCAGCACCTGCTGGTTCTTCTGTGCCATGTAAACATAGCAGTTGACATAACACGTCACCTCTGAGGATGACGGGCACAACGGCCACCGCTACGCTTTGGAGTTCCAGTTCTGTGCCACTGCACATCACCATACCAACAGTCAAGTGGAACAGGATACAGAGGCGACAGTGTGTCACATCCTGCTTTTCAGAGTGTCACATCCTGCTTTTCAGAGTTCTCCGAGATGGTGACACTGGAGAAGAAACCAAGGAAATGAACGCTGGACCAACAAAGAACAGCTGGAAGGTTCCAGGGAGGGTGAGGCTCTGTGCCGATTTGGACCAATCGACCGGCACCTTGGACCCCCGGGACACAGAACAAGGCCTGTAATTTTAACCCGGAACTGACACGTCGATGTAAGATTTTTTCAAACCACTGTGTTAAAAAAAGGGGGGAACAAAGAAGTTTTACCCGTTTCAGACAGAGAGAGATAAGCAGAGGGAATACGTTGGGTTTTCCTAAGCCAGTCATTTAAATGGCATGTTATCCTCTATCTATCTATTTATATCTATGTCAGGGGCCTTTTTTGTTTTCAGGCCACATACGAAAGAAGTTTAATAAAAAGAATCAAGAATAAAACGTGTCCTGGACTTATTAAAAACTTTTATTAAAAACAACTCAAACACAATTGGATCCAAAACACCAGTTAATTAGAAATGCATTTAGATTTTGTGCATTAATCTGTTAATAAAATCTCAACTGGATTCACCATTAGCTGTTGAACCGAAGCCAATGATCACATGACACAGCACGCGGCCATCGCCACGGACATGGCCCTCACAGTACATTCACATCAGCTGTTCCGTAAGAAACAGGAAAATCGCAAAAGAAAATTTAACAGGCACTTGTGTGTGTTTTCTGTAAGCTCACACATGATTCATTAAAAAAATAATTTAAAAATCATATTTACATAGAATGTGCCAGCATAAATACATCTGTTGGGACCTTTGAGAGTCGCGGCATTGGTGCAGAGGTCCGATAGATCACAGACATTTCCTTCAATATTTTGCAGACATAAATCAGAGGAAGCCCACTTGGTGGAATTGCAGACCATGACTTTCGCAGAGCACAATAAGCTGAGACCAGGACGGTCTCCGTAATCACAGGGAATGAAAGGCAAACAGAATCGGACTCATTTCACAAGTAGCTTCAATACAAACTGAGAAATAAAATAAATATACGGATTTATTGGATGAATATAAGGAAGTGGAAAGTGTTCCCTCTCGCTCACCGAACACTGACAATTGTGTGTTTCCGACAAACACCCGACAGTTCTGGAAGCAGGATGTGGTGCCATGGCAACCAGGGGGGGGGGGGAGGACTCAGGCCCGCATGTAGAGGCGGATGAGGCCTGCCTTGTTTAGCTGCTGCCACAGCTGCATCTCCATGCGCATGTCGTGGTTGACGTAGAAGGCGACACGCCGGTAAACCTTGTCATAGTAGTGGTCAGAATACTTGGTATAGTCTGGCGTCATGAAGCCGTAGGCGTCCACCTGCAGGGGGCAGTGTCCCACTGGTGTCACCTAGGGTCACCTCACAACTGGCTACATGCCATCCTAACAAATGGGCAGCTTATCGGACGCCTCCTTCCAGGGACTGCAGAACCAGAAGGTCCCCTGTGTTGTGCCCTCCCCCCAATCCCTTCATCATGACCATTCCCCCCCTGACCTTTGACCCCTCTTACCTGGTCACAGGTGTGCACCGCAGCCAGAAGCATGACGGCACCAGTGGACGGTCGATAAATGTTCATGTACTTGGTTTTCATGGTTGAGGAGCGCAGGAACCTGCAGCAGCATTCAAAATTCAAGTACAATCAAAAAAGGGGAACAAAATTAATGGAGGCCGCCCTCCTCTGCCCCCCAGTAGAGTGATGTCATCTGCTGTGGGGGAGCAGGGGTACGTGAGCGGACACTGTTATGAATGTGTGGGGCCACATTTTGCTTTCCAAGCAGACCAAAGAAGTGGGTATCTGATGGTGGGACAGATGGTGGGCACCAGTAACCCAGAAAACCCTTTATGGTCTTATACCCCTGACAAGGGGAGCTCACCTGTTTCTGAGGTACCGGATAAAGTCGGGGTGATAGATCTTGAAGTTCGTCGCTGTGACATTATCTCCAAAGTATTTTGGCGGCCTGGCATGAAAAGTGAAGGACAGACGAATCAGGAGAAACTCAGACGAGGAAAGGCCAATCAGGAGTCACTCGGATGAGGAAAGGCCAATCAGGAGTCACTCGGATGAGGAAAGGCCAATCAGGAGTCACTCGTGCCTCGTTTCCACCAACACAGAGCTGGTCCTGGTGCTGGGCTGGTTCTCAATTGGTGCCTTTCGTTTCCATCATTTAAAAGGATGGAACGGAAAATGTAAGATTTTTTGTCCATTTTTATTAAGCGCCTGTTTTGGATTTTAAGTTTCTATAAACTGCTGAAATGAAAAAAATGTATGACCCATTGCACTGTATCCACTTTTGTCTCCTTAACGGGTCATTACAGGACATTAGTCGTCTTTTTCAAACAGCCACAGTACTTTTTTTTTTGAAGCATTGACATTAATAACAATTAATAACTAAGTAATATTGTATTATTTAGTCAAATCATACATAACTTTTTCCTGTCACTGTTAGATATTTTTAATTTCTTTTTTGTATGATGTTAGACTGTTTACTTACAAGTTGTAACTAAAATAAAAATATTCTTGCAATTCTGAATGCTTTTCAAACGTGTTGCGTTAATTAATGAATGAATTATTAAATATCTCAAAACTAGAGCCAATCTGGCAAAACCAAAGTCATATTCTTAATCAGCACCAAAATCTTAATATAAAACCGTTCAGACATCGTTAGCACCAAAATCACTGCATACCAGTGTTATTCAAACAGGCCAGCAGACTGATCTTTTGTTTTTCACAGAATAAAAAGAGCAATGTTACGTTATTCCGCTAATAAGCTGGCAAGTTGTTTTACAGCTAGCACCAATGATATTAGACAAAATGACATCGGATTGAATTTTCCAAGTATGTGGAAAGTTTGGACGCGACAGCCCGTCCCACTTTCCTGACGTTCCAGTCAGGAACATTTCCAGTTCCAGGTTCTGAGACCATCTTTTTGTGGTGCTCAGCTGGAGCCTTTTATACTGGCCCATAGCCAGGTTTTTGGAGTGGAAACATGCAGAACTAAGTCCAGAATGGTAAAAAGCCCAGCACCAGCACCACATTGGTGGAAACAAGGCATGACGAGTGTCTAATCAGGAGTCACTTGGTTGAGGAGAGGCCAATCAGGAGTCACTTGGTTGAGGAGAGGCCAATCAGGAGTCACTTGGTTGATCCCCTTAGTGGTACTTTAGCACAGCTAGCCTAAACTCCAGCAGCTGGTCACTTGAACCAACAAAGAACAGCTTTGCAAGTTTGTTGTTTTTAATAAAAGTCCATCCACGTTTACCACCCCCCCGCACCCACTCACACATTGCTGCGCTCCGGCCCCCGCGTGACGGGCCTGCGTGTCACCGCGGCCTTCAGGAGGAGGTAGTCCCGGTCATGGTCAGGCAGGAACACATACCTGGTCTCCTAGGAGACAGGAGTTACAGGGGAGGAGCAGGGGTCAAAGGAGAGACCAATGGACCAGTAAATAAAGACTCACGATTTACACTGAGCTGCTGCCCCGCCTCCCCCCCCCCAATCGTGCCCTTTGCACAGTCCTCCCACAGCCTGACACGCAGACACACTTCTGACCGCACCCTGTTCATTCCTCATTCATTTCATGCCAGGGGTGAACACAGGCCTGACTGCGAGGTTCCCGGGGCGGGGGAGCCCACCTCGGACTGCGGCGGACCCTGGAAGCCTTGCTTGGCATAAGCACGCATCGAGTTCCTCAAGGTATTGGTGGAGAAGATGTACAGGGAGGTGCGCGAGCCCACGTCCTCCTCGAAGCCCTGGATCACGGCTCCGTTGGTCCTGGTAGACACACACAGACACACTTTAAACACCCCAAAGTGGGTGTGGGGGGGGGATTGCAAAATGATTTGCAGAGCAGGTTTAAAAGTGTAATATGCCATTGAGACTGGAGCAGCAACAGATCGATTGCGAAAAACTAAACCCACCCAGTCGGTGAAAATCTGATGCATCATGACGAAAGTCTCCCAAGGGGGACCCCCCCCCCCACACCCCCACACCTCCCCCGGCAGAATGGGGGTCACACATCTCTGGCACTGTTATTTTGTGGGATGTGCGATGTTTGCGAACCCTTGCTTTTGAGGTCCCAGACACTTATGAACAATTTCTTCAGGCATGCAGCTGAAAATCATTTAAAGAATGATCCAGGCCAACTTAAAAAAAACAGCTTTCGTGTGGTTGTGCTCCTGCGCCATGTAAACAAACTTTCTGCTCCTATCGCCACCATTGACGCAGAATGGAAGGCATGAGCTCTTTGAGTCAGACACCTCAGCTGGTCACGTGGTTCTGTCTGACTTCCTGTGTATTTAAGTCTGGTCTGCACACCTCCACTGCATTTCTGACACCACGACGCACAGCAAGACTGAGCCCAAGGTTAAGCCTCGAGCAGATACTTCCAGCAAAAGTGTCGAGTCAGACGGCCAGGCGAAATGACAGGCAATCATTAGGCTGCCTCAGCCCTAACAGGCAGCAACGTCATAGCTTCTGTTCACCCAAATAATCCACCATGGATTTATTTATGCTATTAATGAACAATAGAACCTTCCCAGGATTGGAAAAGCACACAATAAAATAGGAAAAAATATATTATTAATTATAAAGATGGGTGTATTAAAGAATCAATCAAGAAATACAGTCCAAGCGTTTACAGTACTGCTGTATCGATTTAAAATCCAGCTGAATCCAGCTCAGACTGAGGGAAATCAGCCAGAAGCCGATCACATAATCAAATCACTGCACCCAATGGGTGTAACTGCATATTTCTGCAATACTTTTTCAATTTTCAAGTTAAGATCCCCAGTTACCAAGAGTCTGATGTTCTGCAGTGCAGGACAGAGCAACTTCTCTTATTAATAAAACATTATGAACATTATTTCTAAAGCAGGACATTGAAACAAGTGACCCATTGGAACCTCTCGCCACTACAATATGACAAACTAATAAAATTATAGCAAGCCGTGCTACCAACACATAACATAAAATCAACCTTTGTGCAGACTATTCACAGAATCCTCATACACCATTAGAAGGAACTTACATACACTGATAATTTCTCAAGAATTTCTAATTATATAATAAACTGGTCTAAGTCAGCAATACTTCCTGTCTGAAGGTGCCTATGACTCAAAATAAAGTGAATTCCTCTCATTTCAAACAAGAAGCATTAAATATTTGGGTACTAATATCTCCTCCAAGCTGTAACTACACTCCGTTAATAAATAAAATAAAATAAAAGATGATTTGAAATGGTGGTTCAATCTTCTAGTTAATTGTCTTTTTTCAGCCCCCAACAACATGCACAGATAAATGATTTAAGTCTCCGGACTCAGCAAACTTCACTGGAGAAACATGAAAGCCAGAATCAAATTATCAACACTACAAACAAAACATCTCGAGGAGGATTAGAAGCTCCTGACTATTTAGCAAAGCAGTTACAGTGTCCTGGACCATACAGCACTCAGATAACAACTCATGGATGGAACTCGGGGTAAAAGGAATGTCAGAATATGTTCAACTCAGTCTTACCCTTCGCAAGTAAAAGAGCCAAAAAAAAAAAGTATAATCACAATGTAAATGAAAAAATTCATGTTCCATGTTTTCATTGTTGGCAGAATCAGAGGGCTTAACCCTCTTTCCTTGCATGATAAATTAATTATACTTCTTGCGCAGCCTCGTTTTCGTTTGCAGGTTAAGTGCAGTGGGTGTTTTCGCACTGAGGAATGGAGAATGCGCTTAACTCAAAAGTGGGTAACTTTTGCTTGCTGGGAGAATAGACCTCAAAGCAATTAAAAGTCCTCTGGAGACAAGGGTGAACAAGAATTCAAGTATTTCACTTTCGGGCTTTTGATCAAGATTCATAATCTAAGCTGCTCCAGTGACTGGCTGATCAGGCTCCCTCAAAAATGTATCCACCCCCATCTGAGACCACAGGGCTGAGCCCTGCATCAATACCACAAAAACCAGTTAATGAATTGATGCCTGAAATGGAGAACCAGTGCCAACAGCTGACGGACTGGAAAGCGGCTGACAACCAGCGCAGCAAGGAAGCTGATCTTGCACCCACCGTAAGACGTAGTCATGCTGGTCGATCTCGCGACCCATCTTGGATCCCTGCAGGATCCCACCATTCCCCACCACGGCACAGCGGATACAGGAGGAGCCGTTGGCCCGGGTCTCCCAGTCATCGAACATGAGGCGGCTGGCCGATATGTTGAGGATGGATAACGTCTCCGAGACAGCTGCAAGGAAGGGAGGGATGGTTTCTTCATTTGTTTTTTTGTTTGTTTGTTTTTGTTTTGGGGGTTTACTCCTTGACTGCCAGAGTCAGTATCTGTTCCCTCCTTGTATGTCAGAGCAAAAAAAGTTAAGATAATTTTTTAAAGTTAAGCTGTTGTCAACACTGAAACAATGTGATAACAGGTAGCTCGTGGTTGCCATGGTGACGGGCATCGTTGAAACCAGTGGCACTTACTGTTGTAGTCAACGCTTCCCCAGCCATGAGCCCCAGGGTACCGGCGGAGCCGCTCATACTCCTGTGGTGTGGCATGTTTGTGCCACTGGAGAACCGGAATCCGGTCCAGGAACGTCTTACTAAAGTTTGTGAGCTTCACCTTCTGCCGGATGCCATCCTGGCACTTCTGGGGGGTGGGGACATAAGATTCTGTATATGGTCTACCATTTTACACTACCCAATGCTTAGGGTTGACAAACAAGGTCAAGACAGACATGTTGGGATCACATGACCTCATAGAACCCCCAACCGGTATTCATTGTTGTCCTTGTCTCACTTGGTCGGAACAATGGCATGTCTTTAGAGGTCGGACCATAACTCATTACAACTGTTCACACAGAAATCAGGCATCCCGAGAAACGCAGACATAGGTCTTCAGGGTTCAGTCAATTGAGAAGATTCTAGATTTTTCTACAGTGACACCACCAGAGATGACACAAATGCATGTCATTCCTGTGCGTGAACTGTGTGTCAGAGATAACCTGCTCCAGTAATTGCCAAAGAAAATAAACCACCAATTGTTCTGAACCACACAGGCGTGACTCAGAGTTCACTCAAACCATCAAATGTCTCGCGTGCCTCTTCCTCTGATCAAAGGTTCATACCGACAATCCAGTGTCATCTCCTAGGACTTTGTTGCCTCTTCTATTACGCTGGCAGGCGTTCTTCGCTATTCACACAACAAATGGAGCGTCACTCAAGAGCTCAGGATCAATAACTCTGAGCTAGAACGCGTCACGGAGTCACATGGAGAAGGTCAGAGCCTGCTAATTTTTACCCATGGTCATCTCAAAATATTGAGCAGTCAAGTCAATGATTCTGAAATGATTCTTGCCCATTCCTCTGCCATAACTCGTGGATCAGTCCTGCTGCTTTTATTTTAAGTTGCTAAAAACACAATCTTTTCAGCTGTGGTGTTGACATTGGACAACGTGCCGACGCCCAGGACAAAACAAAAGACATATGGTCCTCATTCAGTCACACGGTGCCATTTGGTGGGAAAAAGAGAAGAAGCAAAACCCAAGCTGGAAGCTCAAGATTAGCACCGGGGCCACTAACTAAGAGATATATGAGGGTCATTGATGAAGCGCCGAGGGCAGGTGGCCTGGCTGGAGAGCGACAGCACATGTTGTACCCTGGGAGAATTCGTGTTTAACCCATCATTAAGGGAAATCTGGAAAGTCAGTCCAAAAGAACTGTGCTGCGAATACCTAGCACCCAAAGCTATGCCATTTCCATTCAAAGGCGACTGCAAATAGCAGCCAAGTCCTCTATTGTTTACTTTCTTGTTCTGCCTGTTAGATTACGATAATGTATATAAAGGCATATAAAGAAATGTCTTCTGTTCATAAGATAATTGTGTTAGAAAAAATGTAGATTATTTACTTAGGCATTTGTCCTAAGCAATGTTAAGGAGATGACAGACTGATCAAACGAGTCCAGCAGAACCCTTTGTCCAGATAATCCCAGGTCTTCTCAAGATGTCCATCAAGTGAGCAAGATAAGGACCATGAAGGTGCTGCCATTCAGAAACATCTACATGTCCCACATTTCATATGTTGGTGTCCCCTACTGGGTTTCTCCCTGCCTTGAATAAGCACCAGACCCCATGCGACCCTGAATGGGATAAGCAGGTAAGGAAGTATGGATGGGCATTTCATATATGAGGTACGATGAAAAGTTTTTCGGCGTTGTAATGAAATCTAAGGAGATTATCATGTCCTGCAGTACTCTTTGGAAGACACACTTAATAATCTGTTGATCTCTTAATTATCTGTTCAGATATAAATTTATAGCAAAACAGTTTCCATTTGTAGTCTGTCGCTCTGCGCTGAAATGAAAGTGGTCGCTGTGGCTGATGTATGACCGAAGCGGAGGTCACACTGGAGTACTGCACAGCCTTAACATGACGGTCTACAGTTCAACATGCAACTCAGCACACATATATACCATAAGGGGCAGTGTGTGGCTCAGTAGGCTAAAGCTGCATTCCATTTGCCTCGGGATCCGACTTTCGGATTCCGATATTACGTCACATCCGTTAAAAAACCGAGTCGGGAAAACCGAGTCGGATACGTTCCATTTGCCACAGAAGTAGCAATACCATGGACCCATATGAAAAAGCAAGATTTTTTGCTTAGCCGGACAACTTGTCGGATTTAAGGTACCTCAGTTTAAATGGCCTTTATCTTCCTTCACTTACAATTAGCCCGAACTACCTTAAATCCGACAAATAATCCGACTAATCATAAAATCCAAGTCTAGCCCGGTTAATTGCCATTGTTAGCAATATCACTTGATAACACATTAATCGCGGTGCTTCACGTATAAAACTCCGTAGCAACACATCCACAGATAAGTTGGACGGTATAGTGTGTGCGACCGATTTAACGAGCCACAAATGACAAGTAGTGCTTAAACAGGATAAAACTACAACTTTCCCTTCTGTTGATAAAGGGCGCAGCCATCTTGGACTCTGAACTCGGGATCCTCTGTGCTGCTCCAAGATATTTCTCGGATCTCCGAGGAACGGGAGCGCGCATGTCGTCACTTCCGGCTTCGAAACTCGGAATCCGAGTTCCGAGGGCAAATGGAATGCAGCATGTGGCTCTGTGTCTGTGGTCAGAAGGTCCTCAATTCAAGCCTGGCTTTGGCACATCTGCAGGCCCTTGAGCAAAGGTCCTTATCTCTATGGAGTGCACCAGGAGCCCCTTTGCAGGGGGCCCATTGCAGGGGGGGGCATTCCTTCCCTCTTTGGAATAATTACCTTGTAACTTCAGATGTAAAAGTCACAGACACATGCCTGATACCTAAAATCAAAGTTGACCCCTTTACAATCAATTGTTGGAAGCTCAATAACCAAAATGAATAACTGTATAATTTATGGACATGCGAATATAACAAAAACAGCTGGAAAAATACAAAAACCTGCCTTTGTGTCTTTTTGCAAATATTTTAAAGAAGTACATGATGGGATAGGTCCCATTTTAAAAATGTGGTTCCCTAACTTGTTTTCTACATGTGTGCCCAATTTCATGTCATTTGATGTAGCCGAGCAGGTTTTACAGAGGAAAGAACAAATGGTGCGACTGGGAGCCTTTCATATCCAAAACCTATCTGAAACCAATCTAAAATGGCCACAGTTTAACTAGCAGTGTGTTTTGGGATAGCGTCTTTCTTTCTAAATGCATTACCACTTATGGGTCATAAGAAACATTTTGTCACATAACATCACCACACATTTAGAGGAAAATTTATATTTTATTCACAGGACTTGTGCCAAATATATCCAAAACCTATCCAAAACCTATCCAAACTGGCCACAGTGTAACTAGCAGTATTTTTTGGGATAGCGTCTTTCTTTCTAAATTCACTACCACTTACTGGTCATAAGAAACATTTTGTTTCTAACCCTAACCCTAACTCCACATAACTTTGCCCAAACAAAGCGCGACAAGTGCCTTGCATAACTTTGCCCAAACAAAGCGCGACAAGTGCCCGGCATAACTTNGCCCAAACAAAGCGCGACAAGTGCCCGGCATAACTTAGCCCAAACAAAGCCCGACAAATGCCCCGCATAACTTTGCCCAAAAAAACCCGACAAGGACCGTACATAACTTTGCCCAAACAAAGCGCGACAAGTGCCCGGCATAACTTAGCCCAAACAAAGCGCGACAAGTGCCCGGCATAACTTAGCCCAAACAAAGCCCGACAAATGCCCCGCATAACTTTGCCCAAAAAAACCCGACAAGGACCGTACATAACTTTGCCCAAACAAATCCGACAAGTGCCCTGCATAACTTTGCCCAAACAAAGCGCGACAAGTGCCCGGCATAACTTAGCCCAAACAAAGCCCGACAAATGCCGCCCATAACTTTGCCCAAAAAAACCCAACAAGTACCGTACATAACTTTGCCCAAACAAATCCGACAAGTGCCCTGCATAACTTTGCCCAAAAAAACCCAACAAGTACCGTACATAACTT